TAATCCCTGCTGCTTTGATCCGTCGCCCAGTCTTGTCAATTGTGGTCACACCGTCTGTACGCAATTACAAAACACCCAATTAACTTGATTTTACTAATAAACCTGTATCCTTTTTTACGTTTTATACCATAAATTTACATTAACTCTTTTTGTGAATGGTGCTTATCTTATCGATCAATATAATACAAATAAGATAAAAAATTTTAAAAAAAATTAAAAATTACGGGCATTTTCCAATATGAGTTTTCTTTTAAATTTAAAGCAATAACTCACCAGAACAGCTATAACATCATATCCTTGCTCAATCAGCCATACTAGAATGCAAGAGGTGTCCAGTCCCCCACTGTAGGCAAGCACAACTTTCTCCCTCCTTGATTCAGCCATTGTATAAAAAGAAAGCTGTACGGACGACCCGTCTTGAAGTTGGCGTGAAATGTGTACTCAACTAGCAAGCTAAAACTGTTATATAAAAGGTAAATATAGTGATCAGCAGTTAGTTAGGCCCAAGATGGAAGTTCCCATACGATGAAGGACACAATACAAACCAACGCAATTAATCAGAAAAAGAAAGAAAAAAAAAAACTAGTAATTACCGATAATTTTCTTTGGTAGGAGTAGAAAAGTGTGGCGATATGGAGCTAGAGATAAAAGTTGCACTAAAAAGGCATTAAACATGAGAAAACACTCTGGACTCTTGGCTTCTGTTTATCTAATATCACACTGGTCTTCCTACATTTCATGAGTTGACTGAACATGTAGCTGTTTGGCGAGAGAGATGTTGTTTTAAAGTACCATGAATTTGTCCAAGTAGCTATTCAGACAAGAATTGAATTTGCAACAATTTTTCTAACTGTATTTTATCTTTAACCAAATCACTGGCAGTAGTATTGTTTTTTTTTTTAAAGCCACTTTCATGTCTTTTCTCAGTTTGGTTTTCAAATGTAACAATTCTGCCAGCGGTATAATTATTTAGTACAAAGGCTTGCCTCAGAGAGAGAGAGAGAGAGAGAGAGAGAGAGAGAGAGAGAGAGAGAGAGAGAATTTTTTGTTTAAGTTTTAAAATATCAGACAGAACTACATACGTATTATTCTCTCTATCTATCTATCTATCTATCTATCTATATATATATATATATATATATATATATATATATATATATGTATATATATATGTATATATATATATATATATATATATATATATATATATATATATATATATATATAAATATATATATCGGTAGATAAAGGAAAGTAACAAACATGAAATCCATTGATAACTGACTGGATGTAGATTTAGAATGACTTTATAAATCTCAGACTTGAAATGTCATCTGTTACGACTCTTTTCATTTTTTCATTTTCTTAACAAATTTAATCAGCATGAGCGAATTCTCTGAGATAGAGGATATATACTGTGACAGAAATGGTAACGTATACAGATCATACATGAATCAATAGTCTTCACGGAAATATCACACCTTTTCCAGGAGAAACCTGAAAACAAGCGACGCGATGCTTTGTGTCGTCTCATACTACAAAAGAGTGAGCTGAAGTTCACGATTTTGAGGAAGATATGGGTGATCATCATTGTCGAATGTTATCGACTTCTTCTTCAAGACCGACAGGATCAAAATCAGCAAGAAGGAATGTCGATCTATAGTCCATCGGACCTACCCAAAACGTGACTCTCAGGAAATTTAGAACGAATGCATTCATATGCATAGTCGTATTTAAAAACTTCAGGTCCTAAGTCCCAGCAGATAAAGTATTTTTCTTTATTACGAACTATTTTTGGCTCATTGTTAGAAACGAATTGAATTGAAACGACAGTGCCTAGCCAAAGATCAAGATCGTTTGAGACTGATCATGTCTCACGAAAGTTTGATATCTCAAAATGGGGACGTAGATTAGCGCAGGTGCAGAATTAACTTCATCGTATCTCCACTGAGAATGTAATTAATACACCGATATAATGAACTTCGAGGAAGATTTTTGACTAAATTCAAGACAGTCAGCAATGCAACGGTGATTTCGATGCAACAGATCGAACTTTACTGTTTACATCACACACATCACCAAGTGGCAGCGGAAAACGCAAAGTGTTGTTCTTAAATCAGATTTGCAGTATCAAATCAAGTATAGTCCAGATTATCAACCAACTCTATTAAATATGTTTAGCTCGGGACATCGTGGTGGCCTGAACTCACGCAATAAAGCAAACAAGAATATCACAGATTGAAAACAGTCGTGGGGAGCATACGAATGAATGACAATTTAAACATCTATTTTTTTTCCCATGTAACGTGTCAGACTGCAGACAATGAATGTGTATACACGCTGGTAAAATCGGAAACACTGGGGAAATAATTTATTCTACGATCGGTTACGGAGGAAAAGCAATTGGAAAATCAAGTTAAATTATCGTTACTGAATAATATTTGTGAGCATATATTTCAAGAAAATACATACCTCTTTTAGTCATGGAAGTCAGTTTTTCTTTAACTCTGTAACGTCTGAAGTGGACAAACTTTAGTTGATTTAAAAATGGTCTTACTGTGGTTATTTTTACATAGAATACACTTACTGCTAGTTGTAAGTGCAAGTTTCCCGCAGTCTCCTCTTCTTGCCAGAGATAATGTTGAACGTTTTCTTAAAATCAAAGTTTTTTCTTCTTCTTTTCTTGAAGGGTTTTTAATTCGCTGTAGTTCAATACATACCACCGTCGGTAGGTATGTCATTGCGGAGGGAAAGTTTAAATCAGCAGAATTGGAGGAAAGGAAAAGAACATCATTAATTTTCTTCCTTTTTCTGTCAATAAAGTATTTGATTTTGCAGAGCTTTTCTTCAGCACAAGATAGGCTATACCAGGCAGCAAGTACAGTTGGAGCTGGAAGAACCCATGAAGAACCACTGACAAAAGGAGAGCGATTGGCATGTTTGTTTTTTTTTAACTTGACCTACTTTGTTCGTACAGAGACTCGAACTAGAGAGGACATATGCGATATGTGTGAGTTTTCTGTAAAGGCTAGCGCCTCCTACTACTCACCACCCGGGACACATTTCAGTCTGTAAAACAGTAAATATACAAACATAAGGCAAGAAGAAACTTGTTGTTGTTGTTGTTGTTGTAGTTTTAGCAGTTTTGAACACCAGGAGTCTATCAACCATTATTTTCCCATTACATGTTTATCATACAATGAACATGAATCACTCGTTAGCTATTTATTTATATTAATGAAGTGATGAAGTAGAGCAATTCTTGAATTTCTAACCCAGTGTCAGTGCATTGCTGTTGCAAACATATACTGCTGGACTAACGACCCAGTAGGTAGCCGCGTACACCAAATAGTTTAACCTCGGTTCAACGTTTCGCTCTTGGCTCACTAGGCTGCCACGGAATTCTTTCCAGCCTTACAAAGTCTGAATTTCATGAGCATTTTAAGAATATTTCTAGCTTGATCTCGACTGATATTTCATTGAAATGGTTAAACATGATGTTAAATCATTATTCAAAAACAGAAGTGGTGGCTTGGATTATTTATCTTTATATTATATACATGCTTGTTTTCTATAAATGCCCAGTTCCTTGTGCCTGTGTCCAATGTTTCCTTATTATTAAAGCAATGTATCTTCTGCCTTCTTGGATGGTCTTATTGTTCAAATGTACAAAATGGGTGATAAAATAATATACGGAACAGGAGACAAATAACACCCCAATGGCAACTGTAATATATATAAAACATACAGCACATGAAAACTTTGGACTGTACATAAATTTGTTTTGTCTTGGTTCGGTATGAATCATGAAAGAATATAGCCAGTGAAATGCTATTTTTAAATAGCATTTTACGCACGATTAAATCAAGACATTTAGTTTCTCACATGATTTGTACCGGAAGACAGTCTTTTGTACTGAGTTTTTATTATCATAACCGAGGTCAGCAATTCAATCTGTAGCATTGAATTATTCTACTTGTTTTATTTTGCAGATAGCCCTAAGACAGAGAAAGGCATTCATTGCGCCATTTAAGCAAAATTTTTGAGGGACTATATTCCAGAACTGGTATTGATACAAGTGCCACCTAACTCCTTCCTCCGAGTATACAAATGTCAGTCTTAACTATTGTGTCATAGCACTGCCTTCGCTAGGACAAGGGAAATCTTAATTCAATAAACCCACATCTCTGCGTGCTGCAAACACCTGCCTTAAAGCCTATAATTTTTCCATGTATTTTTTACTCTACACGCCTGCTAATGGATTGAGGACCGTTCTAAATAATTTCATTTTCGTAACAACCCAAAGTATAAGGAAAGTACTGTCTCGGATGCTCAAAATGACAATATTTTGCACCTCTAGGGGAAACCAGACGCCAAGTTCATATAAGATTGCACAACTGATAATGTTTTTAAGATTTTGTGTTATTTAATTAATACCAATTTCTTTAGAACGAAATCAACAAATAATACTTTTGATTAATATTTAAATAGATGCAATGCAATATATCCTGAGTGCATTTAAACTCAATTATCAAAGTTTAAGGCACATAACACGAAGAGGAAATGTAGCGGCTGAAACGCGTCAATCTAAACAATGACGAAAAAACATCATGTAAAGGATATCAGCAAGGATCGATTAATAAAAAGCATTTCAAATTAAAGGAGGATGACTGGAGAAGATCCAATGAACTGTGACAGTCTGGCAACAGTACTGAAAATTTAAAGTGTGTTAGAATACTCATTGACAGTAATCATATAAATTGAAAATGCTTAGTGTGTTAGAATAATAACTGAAAGTGTGTGAGTGTGTGTAATTTAGATTTTTAATGTAGCTTTAAAACATCTTCAGTCATATCGCTAAGATGTCTGCAGTATTGCAGTTTATAGTCTTGTCTAGCACTGGGGCATCATGTCGCAGACATGTGGCATGATGTCCCACCCAGTTACATTTTTATGATACCAGACAGACCAGTCCTAACACTAACCTCTTAATACTGGTATGCCTTAGCCTGGGTTCGAACCCGCAACCTCAAGCATCCAAGGCAGACGCTCTAACCAGTAAGCCACAAGTGCGGTCACTCATTGACAGTAATTGTAGGTTTTGAAAATTTTAAGTGTGTTAGATTTCTGATTCACAACAATTGCATAAATAATTTTAAATTGCACAATTAAACTAGGATTACATACACACACATACACACACCATCAATTGTTTGTAGTGCTAGAACATCGTGTAATAACCTTCAATTTTACTAGGATCACACATACACACACCATCAATTGTTTGTAGTGCTAAAACATCGTGTAATAACCTTCACTTTGACATATTGCTATTAGTCCTAAGTTAGTTGTTTAAGTTTTTAGAATCAATTCAATTCTTCAATAAGCATTATTATGTTGTTACAGTTATATATGAAGCATTCAACTTGTTTTGAAGGTACGTATAAATAAAAATTTGTACGTGTAGATATATACTAGGATGTTAAAAAAAATCACACATTCAAATCAACAGGATGTTTCTAGGCGGATCTGGTGTCACGTTTTGTCATTTGATGCATACTGTGTTCGATGGCTACCTTGTAAAATAGTTGTTTGTATTTACAACAGTTTCAGTTTCAAATGGATATATTGTAACATGCTGTCATGAAGTATTGATTGTGTTCGACGAAAAACTACTTGAACAGGTGTGCCACGTTTTCCTAAAATGTCACTCAAGTGCGATTAAAGGATTTAATATCACGGCTGAATATCTAGAGGAACTGACGTTAGAACAATTCGTGAGTGGTTACAGGACATTTAATCACGCTTGAATCATTACAATGAACTGAAATAATTAAAGTGAAAGTAATGAATGAAGGTTAATATTAATGTAAATACAATGCATTGCATCACTGTTGGTTGTTATTATGAAGTCCTAACGTTTATAGGTTTTATTGATCTTTTACCTTCATTATAGTAGAGGCGAAGACCGAATTGTTTTGATCATTTTTATACCTCTATTACTTTATCACTATCATCTTTCACTGGGTTTATGTGTTGTTTGTACAAAACATTTTTCACTGGGTTTATGTGTTGTTTGTACAAAACATTTTTCACTGGGTTTATGTGTTCTCTGTACAAAATTCATAGCGTGGGGGTTTGTGCTGTCTGTACAAAAACACCTTTCACTGATTTATGTAGTGTTGCAAAAAAAAAAACATATCAATGGGTTTATGTATTGTCGCTACAAAACAAATCATTGGGTTTATATGTTGTCTCTAAAACACGTTATGGAGTTTTTAGTGCTGCTTTTACAAACACATATCATGGGGTTTATGTTTTGTGCTACAAAACACATATCATGTGGATTATGTGTTGTATCTACAAAAACACATATGGGGTTTATGTGTTGTCTCTACAAAATACATATGGGGTTAATGTATTGTTTCTACAAAACTCATATCATGGGTTTTATGTGTCGTCCCTACAAAACACATGGCTTTATGTGTTGTCTCTTCAAAATACATATCATGGAGTATATGTGTTGTGTCTACAAATCATATCATGGAGTTTATGTGTTGTCTATACAAAACACATATCATGGAGTTTATGTGTTGTCTATACAAAACACATATCATGAAGTTTATGTGTTGTCTATACAAAACACATATCATGGGGTTTATGTGTTGTCTCTACAAAACACATATCATGGGGTTTATGTGTTGTCTATACAAAACACATATCATGGAGTTTATGTGTTGTCTCTACAAAACACATATCATGGAGTATATGTGTTGTGTCTACAACACACATATCATGGGGTTTATGTGTTGTCTATACAAAACACATATCATGGAGTTTTTGTGTTGTCTATACAAAACACATATCATGGAGTTTATGTGTTGTCTATACAAAACACATATCATGGGGTTTATGTGTTGTCTCTACAAAACACATATCATGGGGTTTATGTGTTGTCTCTACAACACACATATCATGGGGTTTATGTGTTGTCTATACAAAACACATATCATGGGGTTTATGTGTTGTCTATACAAAACACATATCATGGGGTTTATGTGTTTTCTCTACAAAACACATATCATGGGGTTTATGTGTTGTCTCTACAACACACATATCATGGGGTTTATGTGTTGTCTATACAAAACACATATCATGGGGTTTATGTGTTGTCTATACAAAACACATATCATTATAGGGCTTGTGTTTTGTCTGTACAAATACACGCACACACACACACATACACGCATGCCTATATATATATATATATATATATATATATATATATATATATATATATATATATATATATATATATATATATGTGTGTGTGTGTGTGTGTGTGTGTGTGTGTGTGTGTGTGTGACTTGAACGAGCTTTAAACTCCCTGAATAGGTTTTACATCGACAGTTTCAAACTGTGTTTAAAAAAGAAGAGAGTCGTAAAAAGTGAGGATGAAATGAGTGCCCTGATTTGAAAGACAGTAAACCTGTAATCTTGTGTTTACTATTGATGTCCAACTGATAATTTGGCACTAAGATTCTCTATTTCCGGTGAATGAGCTATGAATGAAGAGAAACAACGTGTGATTCTAAAAACAGTAACTCTACTTGTCGTAACTGAAACCCAGTCACGTTTTTCGCTAGAATAGTTGGTACCTATCTTATTTTTTTTATATAACTGCTCTATTATATTGAATACACTAATTGAATTTGTTTAATAAGATACGACGTGTGTTATTTAAGGGCTGCATTTTTATCCAAAATCTGACAAAGCTTGAGCTTTGATAATACACTTGGCAAAGAATATTCAGGTTCTTTTTGAATTTTTTGTGTGGGGGTGTATTAAAGACTTTCAATAGATCACAACGTACAAGGAAATTACTTTAATCAGTTTGGTTTACAACATCATTAGTCCACTGCTAATAACTTATAATGCACATTTATTACTTTTGTGTTGGCTTTATTCAAAGGTAATTCATGATATTGAGTAATTGAGTGACTAATTGTTTCGCTGTATATTTTAAACTGGCCAATATCAAAGGTTTGGAACAGTGCTAACAAACTTGCATTTGCATTTATTGTGGTTGCGATGACTTTTGTCACAGTTAAAATATATCTTTTGTGGTTCATATTGATAACGAAAAATATTAATACTAAAATGGTAAAGACAGTTGTATTTACCATAAAGGTAATGTATTGAACGAAGAATTATCGAATTTCTTTTGAACAATATATTGATACCAATCAAGGTAATGCATTATCTCTATTGTTAATTACATTTTTTATTAAAAAAAAGTAAACAAAATATCAGCTTTTGGCTTTACTTGTCGTCTCTAATAGCCAATATAAACTCTGAACTGTGAAAATATCAACAAAAAGAAGGAAGAAGATAGATAACTTTGTTTCAGTAAAATAATTAACACATAAAAAAGAGACTAACTGTCATACGTATAATTATATTGTTATTAAGGATATGCGATTAATCAATTTAACAAAAATATTTTTTATACAATTTTATATAGTGCATTGGTATCAACGCCAATAGGATTCACATTATATAATTTATGAATCCATTAAGTTTCTGTTATGAGTCTATTCATGTCTCCATGAACAATATATATATATATATATATATATATATATATATATATATATATATATATATATATATATATATATATATATATATTTGTGTGTGTGTGTGTGTGTGTGTGTGTGTGTGTGTGTGATGTGTCGAATTTTGAAAACTCTTAGAAGCTTTGGTTAAAGGAACTGTATCAAAGTCAACTTAATTAAAGTAGAAAGGGCTAGAGATAGTTAGATGAATATTTTCATTTCATCTCTGAATGTCAAAAGGGAATTCGTTCTAGCCGACGTAACATGACCGAGTCAGATGCTATGGTACAAGAGAATGACATAAGACCTTTCCCCAAAATCGGCAGGTATACATTTAGCGGAATTTGTAGAGCGTTGTCTCAAAGAGTACAAAGAACAGCAAGCAGCCGAAAGAGAGAGAGAGAGAGAGCGAAAGAGAAGCAGCCGAGAGAGAGAAGGACAGAGAGGCCGAGAGGGAAAGAGAGGTAGCCAGACTGCAGGCTGAAAGAGAAAAAGAATTTGAGGTAGCCAGACTGCTGGCTGAAAGAGAAAAAGAACTTGAGTTAGCTAGACTGCAAGCCGAGGAAAATCATAAAGAGAGAGAACATGCATTAGCAATGGAAAGGCTAAGGATCGAAGTGGAGTCTAGGAGGGGAAAGAACCGAACGTACAGTTAGGACCCTCGAGCAGAAGAACTGAGGATAGAAGTACCGTCCAGATAACCATGCCTATGTTCAACGACAAGGATTAAATTATTGATAACTTTTTAACCCAGTTTGAAAAGTTAGCTTTAATACATCAAATACCCAAAGAACAGTGGGCTATTAATATTACGGCATTTTTGCAAGGCGCTGCCAAGGAGGTTTATCATAATTTGGCACCCGCTGAAATAGATGATTATGAAGCTCTCAAGAAAGTATATTACTACGGCACTATGAGCTGACAGCTGAAAGTTTCCTTAAACTTTTCAGATAGTCATCTAAGAAAGCCACAGAGTCTCACGCGCAATTTCATAATCGTGTACGCGTACTTTTCGATAAGTGGATTAAAATGTCCGGAGCCGAACTTTCATACGAAGGCATACGGGAAGAAATTTTAAAGGAACATGTCCTCAGCACATACCGTAAAGACCTAATAGTTATTTTGGCGGAGTGTGATTTCGCGACCTTAGAAGATATTAGTGTAATGGCCGAGCGATATGAAGCTGCACACTCTCGTCCAACCATATGGAGTGGCAGGGATCGAACCAGCGTCCCAGATTTTAGGAGAGGTAATGGTTTAACACCTACCAGGCGGAATGGTCAAAATGGTGGGAAGCCAGGGGCTAACAATCCAAGCCGTGATCAGTCCCGGGGCTCAGGTAAGTCCCAAGGGATGGACAAGATAACCTCTGGTAAGAAAGAGGAAGTTGTGTGTTATGGCTGCAACAAACCCGGCCATATAATTTAAAACTGTAGTAGATACCGTCCCACTGTA